TGATGTCGCACTCAACTCTAAATACAAACGTCTCAGGCTGTGGGGCGGATGACTGTTAAATCTGACATTCCACATTATACCCCAATGGAACAATGAGAAAAGTATCAAGCATCTGAGAGCAGAGTTTCCTCACCATCTCCTCCAATCCCTCGTTGTCATTTATGTTTTAATCATTCTGAATGAGTATCAGCCTACAGTACATTATACACATCTCACTGTCTTGAGCAAATCACAGCAAACATAACTTAACCTCCTGTGATTAATGTCGTCATTACAAGCGTTTCCTGTTCCAGCCCATTTAAACACTGGTGCCTTCTAGGCACTTGGGTTTAAATAGGTCTATATATATATATATATATATATATATATACACAACAGGAAACAACCTTAGCCTCTGAGTCTCCTAAACTAGAAGCTTCTGTCTTTGATTATTTTGGAGCATTTTCCTTGCAAGCATTTCTCTCACTCAATGCTTGACAATAGGATACACCTATTGTTGTACATGAGTTCTGTTTTCCTTTCACAAGTTTTACCTCTTTTCTTTTCAGATGCCAAGAGTCCATGAAAAATTGAGCTTTTTTTTCAGTTAGGACTAAATAAGAAAAAAAATAGATCTGATTTTCATCGGGCTGATATTTTGACACCTGTTTTTTGCTTAATAGAATATTTTTTAGGCTCACGGTTATTTTAAGTCCACAATAGCAAAGCAGCTGACTTATCGTTTCCAGGATGCTTGACATTTTTTCAGAACAATGCCATAACTTGGAACCATTTGCTTCCCATGCTAATCCTATCATTTTGTGCATTTATGAAGTATAAAAGGCCCGTGTCTCTGTAATCAGCAGAGAGTAAGTATTAACGCTTCATCCTTCACTGCTTGATTCCCAGTCTGCTGTAATTCCTGGCATACCATGTGAATACTCTGGACAGTTAAAAACCAATTTACCCCACAGCAGATTCTGATGATGTCGCAGATGACGAAATGATTGATAGGATCTTTAGAGTTGGGTTATTAGGCTCACATACTTGGAGTCGCAACTAGCAATGAATATAGATGCTCATATATACACTGGCCTGAAGTTTCAGAAGAGAGATGATTAAGCAACATCAGATGAAACCATAAAGAAAGCAAGTTACAGAGACAACAGACATGGGGTGGGAGCACTAACCAGTATGATTGTGTCTCTTTTTCACCTGAAGTAAATCTTAAATTTTCATTCCTAAATGACTATCCAACGAAACCTAAGTTCACTATACATTTTATAAACACAATGTTAATTTGGGGTGTTTAAATGTCCTATACAGCATCAGATATTTGAACACTTAGTCCTTAGTTGAAGAGGTTACGGGCAGGTACAGTCATATTGGAGAAAGCATATCACCGGGAGGACGGCCTTGAGAGTGCATATAGTCTTACCTTGTTTCCTGCTCACTATCATTTGAAGATATGATCTCCCGCTCCCTGGTCCTGCCCCCATGCTGGCCACTTGCTTTCATGATGGACTCCAATCCTTCTGGGATCAAAAGTACAAACAAACTCTTTCTCCTATGTTACCAAGGTCAAGGTGTTTGTCATATCCACAGAGACATAACTAATATAGTAGTTTTTAGTTTACTGTTGCTATCCGGAAAAAAGAATATGGAGAAATTTTCTATTTTCATTCCAGCAGGGTTTGCCTTCCTTTTTCTGTCTTGCAATGTGCTTTGTGAGGAAGGTCCCTACAAGGAGTCTATAGAAGTAGACAGGCTAACAAGATGCCAGGCCTCTTGTCGTTGCAATCCGTGATTATATCACCATATGCCAAAGCAATTTTTCAGATGTGCCGCTGGGATCAAGAGGTTATCTAGATTTTCTGGAGGAGCCCTATGCCATATTGCAAGTAGAAGACCTGTGCTAGCTGTAGTCAAGGGAAGAGATGTGATCGTAGAGGCGTGAACAGAGCCAAGACATGGGAACATAACTCACTCTGTTGAGTTGCTGACTGAAGTTGGAGGAATGGTCGTGTGTCAAGGAATCAGTGGTGCCTAGAATATGGACAAGGAAGGATACGAGTTCTACCCTACAAAGCTGTAGAAAGGTGTGATTAAGAGACCCTTGGCTTTAGCCCATTAAGAACTGTGTTGAATAATGGCAGATGTGAGGCTGAGAATATTCAGCATTCAGCCAATGTATGCCCTTTGGGTCTTTGTCAGGTTACTATTGGGTCTTCCCTCCCCTTCCTCTCAAATGTAAACAAGCACAGCCACAGGTTTGCAACACTTCCTTTGTCTTAATATTTTCTTTACACCACTTAGCCCTGCAAGATATCATAAAATATATTTATTTACATTTTTTAGGTGCCCCTCTGAAGTTGTAATCTATCTGGCAAGTGTTGATTATTATTGGTCCTGTCCACTCCTGTATCAACAAGATGGAGAATAGATGCCGCAAAAACACAATAGATGTTCAAAATATTTTAATAAAAAATGAGGCCAGAGTAGATCAATGCTTGACTAGATGAGTATAATTCCTTCTCTCATTAGCAAGAGCTTCCAGTACATCTGTTACTTTTCTTCCTAGATGCCGTCACAGCCTCTTACTGAAAGAGTGTATAGAACCCCACACCAGAACTCCCTCCTCTTATCATATGAATAATGTGAATCTATCAAGCCATCTTGCATGAAGCAGTATGGACACACCCTGCCCCTCTGACTGTGCTCAATCCTGCCTTAGAAGAGTTCCGCCGTTGGCATTCATCAGCCCATCTCTAACACAACCTGCTCTTGGGCTTTCCTGGCCCTTTGCAAGCTTCCCATATTCTTTTAAAGCTGACTCTTCTCATCACCTGGTATGCTCCAAACCCTAAAGATCAGCATCTGTTTTAGACAGAATGTAAATATACTGACTTGACTCTGCCCCACGAAGCCTCCCAGCCCTTCTTCTCACGTAACTTTTCCCGTAAAGAGTTGTACCTTGTAAAACCATCAAGGATCATTTAAAAATATATCTGCCCAATTCTAAAGAAAGAAAATTCTAGGCTCTCAAAATTAAAGATGAATCATGACAGGCTAGGGAGTTAGTTCAAACAGGATACAAATAACAGGCAAATACCCAGTTCACAAGCAGATGTAAGACAGAGAAAAGCCAATCTGTCCCCCAACCTGGATGTAAAATGGTGTAACCCCTGGTCTGCGTTTTACTCTTTGGTATTTCGTACACTCTGAATTATGCTCTTCCTATGCCATTAAAACTGCATTTTTCACTAACTGCAGACACCACTTCAGTTTGACAACTCTGATTTCTCAAGCAGCTCATGAAGTTCTGCATGCTGAGTGCTTGTCTGTGTTTCCATGATGTTAAAAGTTCATATTGTAAGGTTTGGAGAACACCACATGTGTCTAGCAATGCTGAACGCATCTATGCTCAAAATCTTTAGCTAACACCACATTCATTACACGTTTTAAATTCAATTCTCTAAAAATGTTTGTAAGCATACATTTATACTATTCATAATATATTTACACAGAAGATCCAAGACGCATTCTTAGTAAAAAGTTTCACTTATTTCTAAATGTTCCAAGGATTTCTTTTATAATGACTGGAGATGGCTTCTATACTAAGCAATCATATTATTTAAAATAAGATACCTCTTGAACCTGCTATACAGCTAGATATAAGAATGCTAATAACCTTTTCTCTTTCAGGTCCCAGAGAAAGCTGTCAGTAGATTGTAATTTAACTCAATTTCTGTTATTTTTGCAGATTTAACAAAACTTGAAACCTGAACCCCCAAAGTCTGCATACATATGCATATACCCTATGGCTCCTTCTTCCTTGCACGCCGACCACAAGTCATTAGCCTGAAGCCTTACTTGATTGAGCTTGACCCTGGTCTATGGCATTATGCAAAATACAAAGGCACAACTGGGAAGAGAATTCTGTTTGAACAGCTCAGCTTTGAGGGGTTGGGAGCTGTTCACAACCTTGGAAAAAGCAATCATGGCCAACTAAGCAAAAGTGGACTGGTACCTCAAGTGAGTCAAGTCTGGATTCTTTAAAAATAGGAACACAAGTAATAATTCCTTGTAGCTATAGGCACTTAATCTTCTCTTGCTCCCTCCTTTCACGCTTCAATAGAGACTAGTTTTGTCACAACAAGGCTACAAAGAAAGAACTGGGTTTTGACATTTTAAAGATGCAAGTGTGGTCAGTGATCTGCCTGAATCCATATGAGCAGCAAATATCAAAATTGGAATTTATATGCCTAGAAACTTAACTTTAGATTCCCAGCTACTTTTGGGGGTGGAAATCTTTTGGTCAATGATGGGTGGTCTGACCCTCTAGGAACTTAAAGGACCAGAGCCAGGAACACAAAAAGGGAACAATAATGTGTCACAGAATTTTCCGAACAACTTGTACTATATCCATTAAAGTAAATTGCTCAGGACAAGGACTGTAACGAGAAAGTGTGTGATCAATCACACTGAGACTGTCCTCTGGAGGCAGAGAAACACGTGCCTGGTCGCAGTGTTTGGTTATTTTCAGTAATGTTTAAAAAATAATGCTTATTTTTTATAATTCTTGTTTTCCCCAAGATTTTCTTTTTCCTTCTCCTCTTCATCTTCTTCCTCTCCTCCCTTATTCTTTCCTCTTCTTTGTCTAAATCCTTACTTCACCCTCTCCTTCCTTTTCCCATTCCCACCCCGCTCCCAACAATTTGGTGGTTATATAACTCAAATCAAGCTCCATTGAATATATATGCAGTATTTCCTGTCAATTGCTTTAGAATGTATTTGGAAGCAAAATACATAAAGAGCAGCTAGGATAGAAAGAGAAGGGGAAAAGTGGGTGGGAGAGAGAAACAGGGACACATTCTGCTATAGTTGCAAGAGGACAAAACAAGTTCAAGAATTAAGACAAACAAACAAACATGAATTCACGTTGTGCTAGCTTTCATTTTGTAAGTATGTGAATGGTGATGGCCTGCACACAGCCTCCTGGCAATGGTGGCCACGCATACCTCCAGCTGGACACTGTGCCGTTCCCTCCTTTGATTCCAACTGTTGCCTTTGGTGATGTCTTGTGATGGCCTCTGGTTGCCAAGGTTCTTTTTATTCTTGATGGTCTGCAGTCCTCACAGCGCCTACCAGAATTAGATAGAAATGGGATACTGAATAATAACACAACTAATCCGCTCCGGTAGACCATTTAACTCTAGCAATGTTTTCTAAACTCACACATTCTGGCTGGCACACCGTTACTCTCTGAGTCTACAGAACATTGCCATTTGCATTCCAATCCAGGCTGTGTCCCTGCCTTGCTGCGAGATAGATGAACCTCTCATTCTTTTGGTGTTTTAATTTCCTCAGTGGCTAAACCCAAAAGCATATATCCAATCTACCTTTCAGAACTCCTGAATGAATTATAGCAAAACCTTTCATAATGCATTGGCTTAAAATATTTCTCTCTGAACCATATTGATGCTTTCAATATTCTATTTTCCCCAAACAGTCATCAATAGGGCTCACAAAGGAAATATAGTCATATAATTGGATTAATTTCTATAAATCTTTGGATGAACTCAAAACGTTTGGCCTTGACTAATCAATGAATTTGGATTTTTGGCAAGCAGTAATCGTGTGCACATTTCAAGTATTTGCCATTTTCGAAATAAAACAATCTGCTTTAGCTAATTTCAAGACTATAATTGTTAATATACAGCAGTATTAGAACACGGTTTCATTGGACTACGTTCGCTGATGGTCTGAGGAATCAAGATGCAAAAACAGCCACATGGATGCTAAAGCCGGAAGTCATCTCGAGTCTCTGATGTCAGATCGTGACGAGGTTAAGGTTGGAAATTTCTTAAAGGGAATCTAGTGGGGGTGGGCTGGTTTGACAGGTGAAGTGGAGGGGGAATAGACCTTCCTATACAACTAACAGTTCTGTGCACAGTGCTTTATTGCATCTGAGTATTCAATCTTCAGCTCCGCCACTGCTCCATGTGCTCCCAAAGACAAGTATGAAAGCCAGGGAGGAGACAAAGTGTGTATACTCAGGAGACTGGCCACAATCAAACCCTAGGTACTATATTAGAGTCCTCATGCAGATATTGAGTTAAAAATCTTCAAATCTACTGCAGTCACGGATACCAACCAACGAGCTGACAAGTATGTGTTCCTTTGTGGGGGAAACAGTTCCCAGTAGAAATCCTGAACTGGAGCCGTTAGGAAATGAGAGGACGATGTGTGTCCCCTTCTTTGGGAAAACAAAACACTGTTTGAGAAAGACACACAACATTAAACTGAGGTCAAGATTTAGAATAACCTGCACATAAAAAAAAAACCAATGTTCTGAGTTTTTGAGTATTTGTGATGTGGGAAGGACTTCAAAAGAGTCATCCCAAAGTCTCATGTGACCTGCAAAGGTTCTTGTTACAAATCCATGTTACAGGTGTAGTGGCTGAAACTTAAACAGGCAAATAATGGTCATAGAAGGCCCAGTGCAGGATTTAATGTGCCAGGTATTTAGAGTTCTTGCCTACATATTACTTACATATTATATACACATATTACTTACAAAGTCCTCAAACATCTTTATCAGGTGGATATTAGTGTCATATACATTTACCATATGGGAAGCTGATGTATGAGATATTAAGGAAGTACAAGTTCACATGACTCCCAGATAAAACTTTCTGGTTTCATATCTAGGGAGTTTGGCTCTAACAAGGGGTCTCATAAGCACTGTTTGCTACTCTGCATTGTATAGAGTGAGTGGACAAAGGGAGATACGAGGGTTAGACCTGCATTCTGTAGACAGAATATTCTTCGTATCTAAACTTATCTGCTCCTAAGAGCCAAACAAGGAGTATTTGGGGTAGGAATTCTTTTGAAGGATATGATCATTTTACTATGTTTAAAAGTCTGAAGTTCTCAGCTTGATTTCTTCTTACCCATTTTCTAAATATTAAGGAATCCTGAAAAATATACTAAGCACCTTCACTGTTGCTAAAAGTGATAATTTTTCTCTTGCCTCATCAATTGACTTTGGGTAGGCTCCAAGGCAAGGTCTGGGCCCATCGTCAATGACCCCGAGTAAGCAAAGACATCTGCACGCCAAGGTTAGGAAACCTGTGTGGCCCTGCACAAATGCACACTTACTGACTTTGAGACGGAGCTGTTGCCTGCATTTGCCTTTATTTTTCACCTTGACAGACACACTGAACTTCAAGCATGGGGAAATACCCTGATGAGCACTTTGGGAACACAAGTTCCTTTTCCTTGAGGGAAGCACAATCTACCTAGGAACACTGAGATACTGACAGCTAAGGGTAATTCATATTGGAGAGATACAGGGTACTTTTGGCTTTTCACCCAAGTCTAAGTTTCTGCTCTGTGTGAGAAAGTTAGAACTGGCTCAGGTACACTCTGGAGCTGCAATCAAGGCACATAAAGGTGAGCCACAGGACTTTGCAATATGCTGAACCATCACAAATGAGTCCGGGCAACTCTGCATGCTTCTCATGTGCCCTAGAGAGCCAGGCAGATCATCGTTATCAACGTTACTATATTATTCTCCAAATACAAGCTCACAGCATCTTCTCTTCAGTGGGCTGTGTCCCTGAGAGCAAAATAAACTCAACAATTTCTTCCTGCAACATCTCATGAATATTAATACCTTCTTTATTTATTGTTTGGCAAATATGACAAAAATAAAAATGCACTACAGCGAAAAAGAACAAGAATACACCAAAAATATCTAGCTTGTGTCATCATCATTATCAATAAACACACACTTGACAAGCATGCGGCGTGCACTACTCGGCCCCAGAATCCTTTCTTACCAGTGAGTTTTCTGAAAAGGTGTGGGCGATTCTTTGGTTGCTACTCACGGATTCATGTTAATTTTGGAACTGCGCAGACTTGGTGTACACAGTATTGGCACAAGGAGATATGCAAGAGTGGCCTTTCAGAAACAGATTTTCAGTGCCTCCGAATTTTTCCTCTGAATGCTTTGTGCAATAATCTCATATAAGACAAAGAGAATTGAAGCAGTTTTGATTGAAAGGAGTAGATGTAGCCCCTCAGTCCAGCCCTTGTCTCACATCCCAGCACAGCCCGAAGCAACTGTAAGAAGACTTTGAGTTTGCACAGCACACTTGCAAAGTCCCGGATCCAGCTTGCAGAAGAAGGCCCAGAATATCAAGCCAATTAAGGCAGCAGAGGCCAGAGAGCCGGAGGCAGAGCTGGGAGTCACATCTACACCCCTCAGTCCTCATCTGGTGATCTTTATAAACTGCTTCCACCTCCCGACAGAGCACGATTTAGGGGTTAAGTGAAAACAAATATTTATTCAGACAGCTTGCTCTCCAGCTCTGGTAACTAACTTCTGAGGATGATGGTGTGTTCCTGGAGCCTCACTGTGATAAGCAGTCAGAGGACTCGCAATAGGATAGACGACAGAGAGTGCCCAGGATTACAGTGTCTGCTTTGTGTTTATAGACATGGGAATAGGGCCTAGGAAACCTTGCATGTGAAATTCCTTGAACTCTGGCAGAGAAAAGTGAGTCTGGCCATGCCCAAAAGTTGACCAAAATTCCAGAAAGCACATCTGTCAATCTTCTGTGCTTCTGTTTATCCCCTAGAGAGCTCCTGAATTCAAGACAGTGCCCTTGAGTCACAGGCAAAACTTTTGTCAAGGACAGAAAGCATTATGATAGTTGTATGTATTGTGCTGGATATGTAGTTAAATAAAAGAACAGTAGTATCCAGCTAGACGTCCCCAGGTAACTCCCTTCTGTGTTAAGTCAGAACCCGTCAGTGGGCATGTCTAGTATATTCTCCAGCAATGATGACACCCAGTCCCATTGTCTCTGGCTTGCGAATTAATCCCTTCAATAGCTGTATCATTAACTCAGCTTGAGAGAGCATCAGATTCTGTCTTGTGATTCTGGGACAATCATGAGCAGTGTAAAATCTTGCCTCTCATGCTGTACTCTGAATAAAGTTACTCCATAATCTATATTCTTCTTCTTCTTAGAGGAGATCTTTCTAATATTTAAAATAGACATTCTTTCAGCACGTTCTTACTCTCTTTCATAGAGGAATTGGCTTTGGCCTGCCACATATGCAGTATGATCTTTTCACATAGAATGTATTTGAGGGGCTGGAGAGATGTCTCAGTAGCTAGACACACTAGGCTTTGTAGAGGTCCTCGGCACCCACTAGCACTTGAGGGAATAGAACACCCTCTTCTGACCTTCAACTGCACCCAGCATGATGCACAGACATACATGCAGCCAAAACATGCCCCCCCCACAAGCACACACTAAAATGTAATTGATGTAGTTGACCAATTGTTCCTCCCAACAACCTTCAGCAGTTGAAGGTTTTATCTGAAAGTTGCTAGAGTTATTTTCTTATTTTTTCCCTGCATGTTAAAAATTTAGAAACCTCCTTTACAAAGTAGAAAAAGAAATCTAGCAAATATAATGAAAAAAGTTACATTTAAAAGGGCTCTATAGAGTTGTGATTTTGTTATTAACCATGTCGTGATTGTTGAGAACTCTATGATACATAGCATGTTGAATCATGACATCAAATACCTAAAATTCCTTTGTGTTCTATTGGAAAGACACTGTTTAGCATTAGAAAAGCATGGAGACACAGAACTAAGAACGCCATGTGACCTCCTCTGTGGTCACACTGTAGATGCCAGTAGGTGTGACACATTTCTCAAACCACCCAGAAAGAGGCTGATGTCTAATCTCCTACTTCAACTATGAGTTTTAGGTGTACAAGTGGCAGATTAAGAAAGCCCAAACATACCCCTCCATCAACGTGATTCAAAAAAAATCTATTGAGAACTACGAGAATCTACAATTTTAGAATTCTGGAAAGAACCAAGAAGTTACAGTATTTCAGAAGACATTTTTTTAAAGCCAGGTGGTGGTGGGGCATGCCTTTTATCCCAGCATTCAGGAGGCAGAGGCAGGTGGATCTCTGTGAGTTTGAGGCCAGCCTGATCTACAGAGTGAGTTGCAGGACAGGCTCCAAAGCTATACAGAGAAACCCTTTCTTGGAAAAAAAAGAGTTTTTAAACTGACCAGGAAGTGCAAATTAGTATGTTTGTCCTCACGTT